GCAGCAAGGTGATCCAAGATCCGCAGCTTCTCTGAAATCCGGGAAAGCAATGCATGCTGTTCACTTCTGTCTCTACTAACGTCAGCTGAGAGTTGGGAACCTGCACTGTCGTAAAGATGAGGTCTGCTGTCGGTTGCTGGGCCCTCGGGGGCCCTCCTGACCACATGACCCAGGAGATGTGTTAAACAAAGGCATTTCCTGGGAGAATTCTCCAGGAAGGATTTAACCAATGGAAAGGAACCTTCGGAGGAGCCCGATCTCATTGGAGACGAGAGAACATACGTGTGTACATGCATATGTGAATGAATGAATACTCCCACAGATGCTGTCGTTTCCTAGAAACTGAAGGCGGGGAGGACACAGGGCTTCACAAACACCCTGTTAGGATCTCTCATTTATTTTCAGGCTTCGTTCAGCAGGGTGCTGGGAGGGAAGCCCGGGAGAGGCTCACCCACACAACAAGGCTTGTCAGTGAGGACTTAGTCTGCTAAAAACAGACAGAAACCCAGAGCAATCGGAACCCCAAAATAACTCTTGTCTTTGTGTGTGCAGTAACACCAGGGAAGTCTCAGCCATTCCATGAAAGTCCAGAGAGACAGCCGGAAATCACTTCTGTTACCCAGCATGTGCCCCCCCTTGTCTAACACGTGGACATTAAGCCAGCTCACGATCCCCTCTGACTTCCGGTGGTGATCGGAGCCCTTTGGCTCTGTCTGCAGGGGCTTGTAGTCCCCTTGGAGGAGGAAGTTCCGGGATAGGAGCTGGGAGAGGAGCTAGGAGGCTACTGCAAGGGAGGCTTTGATCAGTTGGTGGCAGCAGAGGTAGTGAGAAGGAGCTGGGTTCTGGTTGAGTTTCCAGCCGAGAACCACTGAGATGGGGAAACAGATTAGATGTGGGAGGTAAGCAGGAGTCAGCAATGACTCCAGGGTTTTTATCCACGCAAATACAAGCTCCTGCTGACCTGGAGAAGGTTGGTGGAGGGACAGCTTATGAGACAAGACAAGGAATTCAATTCTGAATGGACTGTGGTTTAAAAATTAAGAGAGAGAGAGAAAGTGCCAGGTGTGGTGGTGCACACCTTTAATCCTAAGACAAGGCAGAGGCAGGTGGATCTCTGTGAGTTCAGTACCAGTCTGGAACACATAGCAAGTTCCAGAACAGTCAGGGATACACAGTGAGACCCTGGATCTCAGTTGGGGTAGAGGGAGAGTATGTTTAAAATTCCTGAAAGTAGAACTATTTCAAATGATAAGGACAAAGGATTCAGAGACCCTGAAGCAAAATAAAATGAAATCATTATGATTAAAGGATTTAGAGCCTAGGAAGTTGAAAGGTGACATTGAGCTCTCTGGATGGTCCTCCATGAAGGCCCAGGTGGGATGAGGCGGCAGGGTGATTCGGACATGAAACAGGAATGGTCAGAGGTCACCCAAGCATTAGTGTGAGGTGTGCAAAATTTGAATTGATCAATTCAAACCTTAGAAATGGACAAAACAGAAAACAGATCAGATCTGCGACACCACACCAGATCCTATAATAAAACTGAAGTTTTGCACACCATAGATTTATTATCTTGTTGTAACATAATATAGATCAAAATCGGCGGACTAAATGAGAAACTCAACAAATTCTCGGGATTGAAATCTTTTTTGTTTCACTGCAGAGCTGTGGATGACTCCTCTACTTATTTTTAGGAACTCATTAATAGGGGCTGGAGAGATGGCTCAGAGGTTAAGAGCTTGTATTACTTACTGCAGTTCCAGAGGCCCCAGGTTCAACTCCCAGCATGCACATGGTTCACAACCATCTGTAACTCCATTCCCAGGGAATCTAATGCCTGCTCCTGTCTTCTGAGGGCACCGGACATGCAGCTGATGCACAGACACCCATACACATTAAATTAAACAGAACAAAACGACCGAATGCTAGCCTTTACATCAACTCATGAGGCATCTTATAAAGTACACCCTGTGATGCCCTAAGGGAACTTTCCTTCTAGTCTAGCATAGACTTGCCATAGCTTGCCAGGCTATGCCCCCCAGCCCTTCCCAACCCTGAACCATGTTTCCAAATTCAGTAACTCCAAGTCCCCTAGCTCAGAGGGCAGCGTTTGAGCTGGTGAATGTCACAGGCATCTGAGTCCGCTAGACTTCAGGAGTGACGCCGGTGCAGGTTTAAAGAAGTTCTACAGATGTTTGTTTATATGTCCTGAGATTTCACTGGAGAACAGAAAACTTGAGAAAGCCCTTGCCTCACATTTCCAATCAATAAATGAAAAGGAAGAGGGGGAAAAAAATGAAATTGTTATATAATCCTTAGCCCACACCCACCTCGTCTCAGACTGCTAGTCACCTAGTCTAGACTTTACATGTGAGTCCTGCCATTATAATTAAGTATATAATATTTAAATCTCCTGGCTTTGTGAAATCTGCATGGTTGTAGGTGAGTGAAAATGTTCAGCTTCGTAGACTTCATCATTTAGTTCAACAGATAGCGAAAATGACATGGTGGCTGAATACCCAACACGGAAAGACTGTCCCCGGACGAGTCGTTCACCTGCTGAATTGGAGCTGATTGACATTTAAGTGGCTTCGCAGGTGTTCGCTCAGCCAAACAAACAGGTTAATCATCTCCCATTCATTTTTTTCTTTTATGAGATATCCTCAGTAAAACTTCTCAAGGAAAATGCCAAAAAAAATACACATCTGGGTCCATGGCATGTGTATCTGAACGATGGCTTTACACCAGGGCTTGAGACGGGAACACTCGAGAATGCCTGTTTGAGCAAAAATAACTAGACTGGTGGGTTCCTCTCCACTAAATCAGAAAGGGGGAGAATTCCAAATCAGGGTTCCTGCAATCCTGGGGTGTGCAAATGAGACCAAATTAGGGTGTTCAAATAAAGTAGGTGCAGAGAAGAGCAGGGCTGCCAAGCCACCCACCAGTGAGGCAGACAAAACAGATGTTCGGCTATGAGGTCCTGGGAGGTCACCATCAGATGCTCATGGCCTATATCCAGGAGTTTGTGAGAGGCAGATAGAAAAGGGTCTCAAGTCCTGCTCTTAGAGAAGCTCAAACATCAGTGATGCCCAGAGTAAGCCTGATTTCCCCCTTGGATGAACTGATGCGCACACTGAACCTCTGCTGGTGCCCCCAGTTTGTCTGGGACCCCAGTTAGCCACAGTCCCTGGAGTCTTTGCTGCCCGCTGACTTCATTTTGCCCCACCTTAATCCCCTGCATTTGATCTCTGCTTCCTCTTTTTCAGTCAAGTAAGAAAAGAAAAGCAATGTGTACGTCTAATAATTGAAAAATATGAAGCACCCCAAACCTCTTTCCAACTAGTAGTCTCCCTTACAGCTCAGTTCTGTGCGCCCCACACTGTCTCCCTGTGTACCCGCTGCTGGTCGACGGCATATGCTGACCTGTCCTTTAGAAGCCTTTAGGACTTGACTGACCAAGTTCTCATCCTTCTCTGGTGTCCTCTGTGTGCCGGGGGCCAGCCTTCCTTTAAAACTCTGAGTTATGTGCCGGGCGGTGGTGGCGCACGCCTTTAATCCCAGCACTCGGGAGGCAGAGCCAGGCGGATCTCTGTG